AATAGATAGTATACCAAATGACATATTTCAGTTAACAGATGCTGCCCTGGACGTGTTCACCAAGAGGTGCCAAGAAATCTGGAGAACAACCACTTGGCCAACTGACTGGAAGAGATCTATATTTGTTCCTATTCCAAAGAAAGGTGACCCAAAAGAGTATGGAAACTATAGAACAGTATCATTGATTTCACATGCAAGCAAGATTCTACTGAAGATTATCCAAAAATGACTGGAACAGCCCAACAGCAGAGAAGTACCAAAAGTGCAGGCTGGGTTTAGAAGGGGTTGTGGTACTAGGGATATTGTAGCTAATATTAGATGGATCTTAGTTGAAAACAGGGAATACCAGAGGAATGTCCATCTGTGTTTCATTGACTATGCAAAGGCATTTGACTTTGTACACCATGACAAACTGTGGCTGACTCAGAGAAGGATGGGAATCCCACAACACTTGATCCTGGTAATGAGAAACCTATATTTGGACCAAGAGGCAGTCATCAGAACAGAGCAAGGGAACACTCAAGGTTCAAAATTGGGAAGGGCGTACGCCAAGGATGGTTCCTGTCTCCATACCTTTTCAACCTGTATGCAGAACAGATTATCCCGGAGGCTGGGCTCTATATGAGGAGAAATGTGGGGTCAAGATTGGTGAAAGATCTAGCAACAGTCTGCGTTATGCAGATGACACAACCCTGCTTGCTTAAACTGAGGAGGACCTAATGCACTTGCTGCAGAGGGTCAAGGACTGCAGTCTCCAGTATGGATTGAGGCTCAATATCAAGAAGACAAAGATTCTCACCACTGGACTAATTGGCAGCGTCAGGATTGATGGTGAAGAGATTGAGATTGTTCATAGCTTTATTTTGCTTGGTTCCACAGTCAACACTCTTGACACCAGTAGTCAGGAAATTAGCAGCCATGGCAAATTGCCATGAGAAACTTTACTGTTAGGGACCTCTCCAAAGTACTGAAGAGCAATGGTGTCTCTCTGGAGACTAAGGTGTGTCTGATACAGGCCATGGTCTTTGCTATCACTTTGTTATGCATTGGAGAGTTGGACAATGACTAAGGAGGATAGAAGGAGAATTGATGCCTTTGAGCTGCGGTGCTGGAGATGAGTATTGAGGGGACCATGGACTGCTAGGAAAACAAACAGATTCATCCTGGAAAGGGTTAAACCGGGCTGTTCCTTGGAGGCAAGGATTCTGAGTCTTTGTCTAACATACTTTGGACATGTTGTAAAGAGAGACCAGTCCTTCGAGAGGGACATCATGCTTCTGAGGGTGGAGGGACAGCGCAGAAGGGGAAGGCCCTCTATTAGGTGGATTGCTTCAGTGACTGGAGTAATCAGGATGGGAGTGTCAGAGACAGTGTGAATGGCACAGGACAAAGCAGAGTTTAGGGCTGTTGTACATAGGGTCGCTATGAGTCGCAAGCAACTCGATGGCACATAACGACAACAACATTTGATAAAAGCTACTGGAGCTAGTTTAAACCATTTATTTTAATGACTCAGAAGCTTTCAAAGACATTGTCATTTCATAAAGCCATCTTTATAATCAATCTCATGATTTTGATTCATTTTTTCCAAAACAAATTGTAATCAGCATTCCGCTTTCATGATTGTAGTGGCCCCTCGTGTTGCAGGTCAAACTAGATACTGATGGGCTCAATTTCATTTTGATGATATTAGTGAGCTTAGGCAGATTGGAAATAATTTTAAGAACTTGTATTTTTCTCATTGAAAATCTATTATGATTCTCATTTTGCCATTCTACATGTACAAAGACTGGGCAAGTAAAACATACAATATTTTTGCAGCCAGTTCTGTTATTATATAAATTCTGCTTTATTTACAAGAAAAATTGTTTCACAACCTCCTTTTTAAAGTGCCTCTGAGTCAAATTGCTAGTTTACCAGTCTCCAGTGAATCAGCTCAAAGAATTGTCCTTCCCAAACTGAGGGTCTCTTCATTTACCCAGGGAGCATCATAAATTCACAAAGTAAGTCTTGATTTACCCTCTGTTTCCAAAAATATTACATTTTTCCTTGGGAGAAGAAACCAAGGAAAATAACTTAGGATATGAAAGAGGAAAGAAATAGTGACAGATAAAGTTATAGAATTAAATCACTGCTTGCTATAAGCTTAACACCAAGAAGCTACAGAATTTCTTTTAGTTTTAACCCTAAGAAAAGCAGAATCTAAAAAATGCAAATGGGATGAGTTTATCATTTTCTCATGACTAGAAAGAACACTATTTTGACTATTTTTCTCTTTCTAATTTAGCTGTGCCCGGTGACCTTTTTTCCTTCCAGGTTTTCTGAAGGAATTTTAGCACATTTGAAGAGGCTTCCCCCACCTTTTTATTTAATTTTTCTATTTTAATCATCAAGTAGTTATTTCTTAGCCTACCAAAGGGCATGTCCTTTGGGTCATAGCCACCAGCTCAATTGATTCTTCTTTATTTGCAAAGATGCCATTCTCAGGAGAAGTGTGGTTTATCTTTTACATATATATGCACATGCCACAGTCGAGAATTAGAGGAAACCCACAGAGGTTAATTAGGTCCCCCAATCTTAAGGCGATTTAATGTGTAGGCCACAATTTAACATATCTAAACCATGCTGAAGCTGCTAAAATATCATTCGGAAGACACATACGACTACTGAATTCTTAAAACAGCATCTGAAAGGCTCAAAATCACTGGCAGTAAGAGAGATCATTGTATAAATCAAAACTGCAGTGAGATACTGTCTCACCCCAGTAGCAGTGGCAAAGTTTAACAGGACAATAAGCAATAACCTTTGGAAAGGATGTAGAAATATTGCAACTCTCACACAGTGTTAGTGAGATTGTAAAATGGTACAACCACTCAGGAAAGCAGTTTGGTGTTGCCACATAAAGCCGAACATTGAAATTCCATATGACCCAGCTATTTCTTGCTGGGAATATACCCCAAGGGAAGAGAACCGAGACACAAATGGAGGGTTGTATACACATGTTCATAACAGCGTTATTCACAATAACAAGAATATGGAAACAGCCCAAATGTCCATCAACTAATGATTGAATTTAGAAATAGTGATACATTCACATGATGGAACACTATGCAGCACTAAGTAGCAACAATTTTGAAAAATACTACACAACATGTATTATGCTTAGTGAACTCAGTCTCATAGCAACAATTACTGCATATGTCCACTTTTTTAAAAATAGAAAGATAACTAGTAAATGTGTATAGGTGCACAGAGGGAAGAGACGAGGTTGCTGAGAGTGGAAGGGGCAGCCAATCACCGAGATGACAGAGTTTGATGGGCAGAGAGAGGTGGGGATGAAGAAATTAGGAAAGATCCAGTAAGGATCTGAAAAGGCAGGGTATTAGCAGTCATAGATCAAAAATGATTACTTATATAAAACACAATGTTAAAAAAAAACCCAAGAATTATTTGCTTTTATTAAGTTAATCGCATCCATTAATTACCATGTAATGGTAATTATTACCTAGAAATGTTTATCTGAAAAAACAAATGAGCTTTGTAAACTTCAATTTGACTGATTTTTTAAAAAATAGGATCTGAGATTATCTCCATGTTGATTGATCATATAGTTTGTTATTTCTACTTATAAGAAAGAATTGCTAATTAATTTTCAACACTGTTACAAAATAGTATAGTACTTCAATGTACTTTAATGTTTATAAAAAGAAACCTATGGAAAAAAAAACCACTCAAGCTAGAACATTTCAGAAAAGTAAAACTTGCTGCTTTAAGAAACAAGGAGATGAAAACAAAGAGCAATTTTTACAGTGTCAATCTTAAAAGAAAGCCTTAAGTGTCTGGTCTTGAGAAATATTTTCTTATAATTTTTTATTTCTATATTAGTAACTATCTCTTATGAAAATGCTTTTTACATTGTCCTATGATTGTAATTGTTTTTCCTTTGGTTTGGTAAAATATAGTGTTTTTTGAAAACTACTTCAATTTCACCCTGTATATTTGAGCTGTAAGCTAAGGAAACACTGAATAAAGTTTATGCATTATTTTCAAATATCATTTTTATATAACAGTATAATTTTCAAATTTGTCATTGAATCTAGACAGAAAAAAACTCTTGTATATCTCAATTCCCTGGAGAAATGCTCATCTGTCAGGCTAAATAGTGGCATTTTTTTTTCTTTTATACCTCAACATTTCCTTTAGAGTAATTTTAGTTTATGACGAAAGTGCAGTTAAAGAGATTTCTGAATATCTTCAACATTCATGTCCCATCCTTGGCATTAGTAATATCTAATGAGGAAGCAGGAGATTTCCGTGATTGTCTCAAGTTTTCCAGTTCTGTAGTGAAACCCTTCTCCAGCAGTGAAGTAAATCATGGCTCTTTAACCATTAAGCAACCACTCAGCAATTGCTTTGCATTGATTGATTTAGGAGAGAGATTATTTTATTCAATTTCACATTGTGCTGTTCTTTTAATAGAATAGTCATGTATAGAATAAAAGAGGCAATCATATTTGCTGTATATCTTTCTTTTTCCTAGAAATCACTTCTTTTGTCCCAAAGTAGTCTTTATAGTGTTCCTAGTACTTTTATCTCAGGGGAGGGGAGGAGAGAAAGACAGAGAGCAAGAGGGAGAGAGAGAAAGAGAGAGAGAGAGAGAGAGAGAGAAAGATTGACTATGGGAAACTTGGTCAAATCTAATTTCACCAGGGCTGCTCATCCAGTCAGTATATGCCCTGCTTCTCAAGGCTCCAATTTAGGGAGTATTTATAATTCATACATTCACACATTCTGGATTATTTTCTCATTATTGGAGTTGACTGTCTCATGTCCTAAAATGCAAGTGAGTTAAAAGTCAAACCTGAAAGTTAAAATAAATACATGGGAGGGGGGTTTTAAGAGGAGCATTTTATGAATTCTCTTTATAAACTCCCTTTTTAAAAAAATGTTATTTGAAATTTGAGACCCAGAGTGAAATGAGGTCTTTGCATCTCTGTTAGGCTTGCACAGGTGGTGGGTGCACCTTGAGCCAGGCCAGCCAGGCCCTCACCGATGAGAACATTCCAGAAGGAGTGCCATCCCCCACAGTGCACTCATATTCACCTGACTCCTTTAACATCTCCTGGACTGAGCCCGAATATCCGAATGGTAAGTGAACTCTTTTAGCCTCAAGTTAAAAAGATGATTAGTAAAGGTAAATTAATATTCTAAATGGCAGCTTATATGTGGTGCTTAATTTTTAATGATCATTTTAGCACATAAAATACCTGAGATAGTATCATTGTCTGTAGTTGGGAGATTGTGGTTTTTAGGCTAACACACAATTTTGGTGGCTCAAAAGTGCTCCCTTTTGATAGTTCTTGTGTACTGCATCTTATTGTTAGCACGCTTTGGAAAAGGTGAGGAGAACAAGAAATGCCACTGTGAGACAGAAATTGTATTCTCAATGACTTCTGTTTTGACAGCCATTAGTTCTTTCTTTAAGAAATAGAGAAGTGAAAGTTCATGTACATACTTTATTTCAAAAAGCTTTTTATTCAATATGTTTATCTGAAAAGAGATCAGTCACTGGAACTCTGTATTTTTAATGCACTATTTATAAGGATTTTAGCAATTCTTATTTAACTGACATGGACTACCTGTATTCCTAATCAAACTGTATGTATCCTTATACATTTAGAGAATCAAACTAGTCAGTTAAACTTATCTGTGATGAAATTTTATTGTATACATTGTATATATAATGATTTTTGTAAAAATGGCTCTATTTGTTTATTGGAAATATCTTTAAGAGTCCTATAACACAATACCATTGTATCCTGATAGAAGATTACATGATATAAAATGTTACACTTTGTTCTAAGTTAATTCAGTATTGTGTATTTAATACTGTTAACCAGAATTGGGGGGGGGCGGGAAGAAGGTTAATAAATTGTCTTGTGTTTACTATAGTAACTATTCCAGTCATGCCATTTAAATTAAACTTTTGTCAAATGCAACAAATATATTTGAGATAATGGAAAGGGAGTGGCTGTATATGCTTCTGAAGTTATTCTTGTGATTTTACCAATTTCCTAAAAATAAGTGTATATCTTTTTGATACTTCTATGAAATGATAAAAAATCTGATCACCTTTCTTAATCTAGAAAGAACTATGGTCCACAGGCAACAAAGAAAATGCAAATGCTCTATACCAATTGTATTGTGCAGTGTGCCATTACATAATTTATACAGTGGAGTGTATTCTATCTTCCCAACTGGTATTTGCAATTGGTTCTACAACAGATTGTAAGTCCTAAATTAATTAAAGAAATTCTATCACTTACAATTTGTTCACTTACAAGCAAAGAATATTTGTGTGTAAAGTTTTATCCACGTAAAAGCAGCTCCTTATTATGATTTCTGTACTTAACAGCAGGTTTTAAATTAATTGAGCAAGAAGAATCAGAGAAATTTCAGAGATGTGTGGAAAGTTCCAATTATATCCCTAACATTGTGCTTAATTAAAGCAAAATTTTGAGAATTATGTGTATAAGTAGGGGCAATGGTTAAAACTTTAAAAGTACTCATTTTCCTTGAAAATATCCGTAAAATTAATGAACTTTTAGCTAAACTTACAAAGAAAAGATGTTTAGAGGACAATTGTTATCAATACTGTATGAAATCTTTTAAGAGACAGAAAAAAAGAAGGGATTACTCCCTAAATTATCCTATAGAACACAGGTAGTGCTAAAATTCAGATAAGAAAAAAGGCACAAAAGAAAAACGACATGTCAATATCGCTTATAAATATAGATGTACAAATCTTGAACAAAAATCAACATATTAAAATATTCATATACCATAACTAAGCAGAAACTGTTTAAGGAATGCAGGGATGGTTCAACATTAGAAAATTAATAAACATGATACATCAAAGCAGTAGAACAAAGAGGGCACCCTCTGGATGCAGAAAAAAGACATCTGATACAAATCCAACACTATTTCCTGATGAAATGATAATTTAAGACATTTTTGAGAAGCTAATAGTCAACTTATTGGAAAAAAGACTGATAGTATTCCCTTGGATAATACCCACTCTCCTTACTTCTGTTTAGTATTAAAAAAGACAAAAAAAAAAAAAAAACAAAAACACCCAGAATGGAAAAGAATAGATAAAATGATTTCTTATCACTGATGATATGATCTTGTGATTGTTATGTGATATCGCCTGTCATACTGATTCATACTGACCATATGTACACTAACTCTGAAATCTGACAATCTTGAGCCAGTCTCATCTTCTCCAACAGACTTAATCCCATTTCTCCAGTCACTGAGTAAATCAATCTCATCCTGTGTCTTCCACTCCTGTGCTGTCCCTTCACCTTTCCAAGCATGGTGTCCCTCTCCAAGGATAGATCCCTCCTGTACACGTGCCCAAAGTAAGTGAGATGGAGCCTCACATTCCTTGTCTCAGGAAGCATGCTGGTTTCACCCTATTCAGGACAGATTTTTATTGTTCTCCTGGCAGTCCTTGGTATGTTCAACACTCTTCTCCAGCACCACAATTCAAAGGCATTGATTTTTCTATTATTCTTATTGCCCAAATCTCTGATGATAGCCAGTCATTGCAAAGGTCATGGGCTGGATCAGGTTCACCTTAGTTTCCAGACTACATCATTTTTCTTCGGTCCATAGAGATATCCCTGACAGCTTATTTTTTCAATGCAAGTCATCTTTTGATTTTCTGACTGCTGTCAAAAGTGTTGATTGTGGAACCAAGCAAGATGAAGTTATCAACAACCTCAATTTCTTCTCTTTCCATCATGAAGCTGCTGATGAGCCCAGCTTCAGTCCATATTGAAGACTACAGTCCTGGACCTTTTGCAGCAAATGTCTCGTATTCTCTTCAGTTTCAGCAACCAAGGTTCTGTCATTTGCATAACACAGGTTGTTGATGAATCTTCCCACAATCCTAATGCCATATTCCTCCTCATAGAGCCCAGTCTCCTGAACAATCTGTTCTGCATATAGATTAAAACTGCATAGAATTAAGATTCATACTTGATGCACATCTTTCATAATCCTGAACCATGCAGTGTTTCCTTGCTCTGTTCTAACTACTGCTTCCTTGTTCAAGTGTAAGTTTTGCATCAGCACAATCAAGTATTCTAGGATTCCTATTCTTCTCAAGCTTAGCCACAATTTGTTATGATCCACAGAGCCAAATGCCTTTGTATAGTCAATGAAATACAGATAGACATTCCTCTGATCTTATATATAAGAAATATCAGAGAGTACAAAAAACCTCTTCTAGAACTAATAGAGGAAATTAGCAAAGTTACAGCTTAACAAATCATCATGATAACTCTAAGGGGGAAATTACAATAGCATCTAAGAGAAACAATGCCTAGGAATAAAACTAACTAGGACCTCAAAGGATTTCTATAATAAGATATATAAAACATTGGTAAAGATATTTAAAAAGACTTAAATAAATGAAAATTTTTTTCATGCTTATGGGTTAGAAAACTTGTGGGGTTAATACGTCAGCACTACTCAAAGCGTTTTATGGATGTCATTTTGATTAAAATTCCAACAGACTTCTTTATTGAAACAATAAAACAAAACAAAGAGACAAAGGAGGGAATAATTTCCTTAATAGACAATAAATAGAAAGAGCCCAGAATAAATAAAACAACATTGAAATAAAGCCACAGGAAAAGGAATTATAGTTCCTGTATTGAAATATGCTATAAAGCTTTAAGAAAATATTCAAGGCTGAATTTACAGGACTGAAGAATAGTATAGAGAAAATAGTGAATTAAGTTGGAATCAACAAAAGATAGAAGGAATATACAGATGCAGAGAACTCGCATGAAATAAACAACGCTCAACACTTCAGAAGATTGTATATGATCAAGAGACAAGGCTACAACTCAAACAAGGTAAGTAGTAGTGGTGAAAAATAAGGTCACAGAAGTAGACAAAATTTCAATTAAAGCTTTTAAACAAACAGATGCTGCCTTGGAAGTACTTACTCGTCTCTGCCAAAAATTTGGAAGAAAATTTTCTGACCAGCTGACTAGAACAAATCATATTTGTGTCCATTCCCCCCAAAAAAATATTAATATAACACACATAAAATCTTGCAGAAGATTCTTTTAAAATGGCTGGAACTGTGCATTGATAGAGAACTCCCAGAAATTAAGACTGGACTCCATAGAGACTGTGGAATGACTGAGAAACATCATTGTCGTTATGACGTGAGTCAGAAAGCAGAGAATAAGAGAAAAATGTTTGATTATACTTTACTGACACAAAGATGTTTATCAAAGACATTTGAACCTGTGGATCATAATGAATTGTAGCAAACATTAAAAATAAGGGGAATCCCAGAACATTTAAGTAAGCTCATGCAGAATCTGTATATAGACCAAGAAACACTTGTTCAAACCAAACAATTGCATGCTGCAAGTTTTAAAACCAGATAAAGATATCCATCAAGATTGTATTTTTTTTCACCATACATATTCAATTTACATGCTGAGCAAATAATCTGAGAAGCTAGTGTATATGAAGAGGAATGTACCACCGGGAGGAGGAAGGCTTGCCAATACCCCATAAAATGCAGATAGCACAAACATTCTTGCTAAAATCAAAGAAGACTTGAAGCATTTATTTATGAAGTACAAAGACTATGTAATTTTCAGTATGGATTGCCTAAAGCAAAGAAAACAAAAGATTTTCACAACTGCATCAGTATACAACAGCATGATAGGTGAAGAAAAGATTGAAGTTATCAAGGACTTCATTTCACATGCATACACAATCAATGCCCATGGAAGAAAGAAGCAGTCAAGAAATCAAAGGAGCACTGGACAAACCTGCTATTAAGAACTTCTTTAAAATTGTTGTTGTTATGTGCTATCGAATTGCCTGCAACTCATAGCGACCCTATGTACAATAGCCCTAAACCTTGCCTTACCTTGTGCCAATCTTATTGTCTTTGACACACCTAGTCCCAATACTCCAGTTACTGAATCAATCCCTCTCATCAAAGGTCTTCCTATCTTAAGCTGTCCCTCCACTCTCCCCTGCACGCTGTCCCTCTCGAAGGACTGGTCACTCCTGGTAATGTGCCCAGAGTATATCTGATGGAGCTT